AAGAAGGAAAACGGAGTTGCGCGAGCAGGGTTGCGAAGTCGGTGCGTCTTCTCCGACAGCTCCGTCTTCTTTTGGCTATGGAGATTTTCCGCGAGCGGAGACGCGAACCTTTCAGTTCTGTCCCTTTTCCGACATTGTTGTCCGTAATAGAATCCTTCGCTTTGACTTCCTTGTTGCGCCGAAGCTCGTATTCCCTGGCCAACAGCGCGCCGAAAATTCCAAACCTCGTCCACTTTTTCCCTGTCTTGGGAATTATCTCATCATCTCCATGGATTTCCATTGTCGCCGATCTCGGAAGAACAACGAGAACAGAAAAAAAAAATTCACGAGGAAATTAAAGGAAACTCAGATCGAAGAGAGAGAGAGAAAGAGAGAGAGGATAGTTGCATGAGAATGCAAAGAACTCAAGAACTAAAGGAGAGGGAGTAGTGTGTGATATATATAGACTTGTGAATATTATTATCGTAATCCTATCACATTAATGATTAGATAATTCCTGATTTAATTAAGATAGAAATTCCCCTATTCACATTGTATTGTATGCAAGTACAAACTCCATTATTTGACCAAGTCTTTTAACGTCCATTATATATATATATATATATATATATATATATTGAATATTCATCTCTTTTTTTTACGGTGTATATAGCTTTCATATTTAATGAAATTAAATGGACCCACATCTCGTTTTACATCGGTTTGGATAATTGAGCTCGTAATTGAACCTCGCTACTGTTAGCAAATAATACACTTAAAGGTTTCCCAATTGAACCGTTATAAAAGGATTAGACTCAAATATATATATATATATATATACACATAGTCCATACTTTTAAATTCAAATAATATCGTCATTGAAGTCGATAAATTATAATGAAAAACTCGCTAAAACCCTAAACCAAATAACACCAAGCACTAAACTTTCTCTAAAACGGACGACGATATCAAATAAGCTCGAAATATTAGAAATTGAATGGATTAAATCTTTTATTTAAGAAAAATAGAGTTGTTAAGTTGGGCAACTAATCTCATTTAGCCCAAACCTATATGAATTTTATGATTTTTTTTTCGTTGGGTTAACCCAATCCAACAAAAACAAACTAAAATTTAAATAGATTGGGTTAATTATTGAACCCAACTAAACCCAATTAATTAATTAAATTATAATTAAGAGGACACATAATGGCATAAATTAGTTATAGATATTAATAATATATTAGAAAAATCAAATAAATTAAAATAATGTCATGAAAAATAAATCAAAATTCCTAAAAAAAATACATCCATATTTTTTAATTTATTTATATCCTAAAAATAAAAGTAAATTAATTTTTTCATATATATCTAAATAATTTGATAACATATATCAAAACTTATTAAATCTTAATAATTATCTTTAAAAAAATCAAATAAATTTAAATCATGTCATGAAAAATAAATCAAAATTATTAAAATAAAATACATCCATATTTTTCAATTTATTTATATCCTAAATATAAAATAAAATTAATTTTTCATATATATCTAAATAATTTGATAACATCTATCAAAACTTATTAAATCTTAATAATTATCTTTAAAAAAATCAAATAAATTTAAATCATGTCATGAAAAATAAATCAAAATTATTAAAATAAAATACATCCATAATTTTCAATTTATTTATATCCTAAATATAAAATAAAATTAATTTTTCATATATATCGCCGCTTCTCCTAGGTCCTTCATAGAAAACTGCGTTCCTAGCCAAGACTTAACGTCTTGCAAGGTAGGAACATCATTCCCTATAAGGAGAATGTCATCCACGTACATCACTAGAAATACAACTGTGCTCCCACTGACCTTCTTGTAAACACATGGCTCGTCTTCGTTCTGTAGGATTGTGTCAGAGTACTTACATCGATAAGGTCTTGAAACGTTTCAAGATGCAAGATTTCAAGAAAGGAACCTTACAGATGAGCAGTGGCACAGTTCTCTGCAAGAGTCAGTGTCCTACGACACCTGATGAGCGAGAACGCATG